AGCATTTCCCCATCACCCCCAGCTGCTGGGATGATATGAAAGGAGGCCCCATAATGCAGATGCTCTGTCTCCTCACTGTCCCCACCCCCTTCTCCCTGCCCCCACCATACTCCACCTGTCTCACCACACTTCCCAGGAGCCTCTCACTCTGCACCCCGCCCCAACTGGGCCCATCTCCCTAATCACTGGCATGAAGCTGTCTCGCAGTGGCAGGCGCCTGCCTACCCAGGACACTGGCAATAGCAGGAAATGTGCATCCGCCTTCCTAACTCCCAGCCCTCTCAGCTCCTCCCCCTAATTGCTCCACAGTGATAGTTGTAGACATCCAATGCTTGGGTTCCCCATGACAGGAGGGGCTCAGTTCCTGGGTCCCTGTGCTGCTCTCCACGCCCAGCCTCCCAGGATGAGGGTGTACCAGTCAATGCCCTTAGTCTTCTGAGACCAGCAGTGGTTCCTGAAGCATGCCCCCGCCTCGGGTGGCAGCATCAGTACCACTTGAGAACTTAGTAGAAATGCAGGGTCCCAGACCTTATTTACTGAGTCAGAAACCGGGGGTGGGGATGGGTCTGGGTTAGCATGGGGTTTGAATAAGCCCAGCAGGCCGTTCTGGGACACCCTTAAGTTCGGACAACCATTGAACTGAAGACAGTCCTATCAAGTGGAATCAATGTGATGGCACTCCCGTGGGTGCCCAGGGATGTGCCGAAAGATTCCACCTTCACCACACAAGACCCTCCGGCTGCATGATTAACATGGGGGGGTGATCTGCCCCAGACTGCAAGCCCAGCCTGGGGATGCTGGAAGCTCCAGGGAAGAGGGTTGTGAAAGGCAGGCAGGCAGGCAAGGGAGCCTCTGTGACAGCTGGTGACAACGAAAATAATAGGCGCCAAAATATAAGCAGGACATAGGGTCATGACACCAGTACATCTCTAATTTTGAGATCATGTATTCATCTGCAAGATGAGCAGAGCAGGACTGATTTCCCTACGTACAGGAAGTGGGGAGGCACCAGGATAGCAGGCAGGAAGGTGGGCCAGGCTGGGCTGGGCTGGGCTGGGCTGGGCTGGGCTGGGCTGGGCTGGGCTCCTTTCATTCCTGTTCCAGAGCCAAGAAGCAACAGGAGCTGAGAAGATGCGGTTGGTGGGGGCAGCCCTGAGGATTCATGGGGACACCTTGACATGGTAGCTGATGCCCATGTATAATCAGTGTTAGCTTTCACTCCCTGGAGCTTCAGTGGCATCCCAGTGTGGGTTAGGCAACTGCTGACCCACTTCTGAGGAAACCAAAGAGCCAATGAGGAGGGTCAGTGGGGTTTGGCATGGAAAATAAAACACTAGGGAGGGTAGTCTCATAAGGAGGGACTCCCTGGTTGTAAGGAATGGAGGCGATTGGAACTGTGACCAGGGATCATTCTCTGGCTGTATGGGGAGAGGAAGGGACATAGGAGGAGCTAGTAGAGGCCACTTGACAGACGCGTGGGCTTCACTGTGCCTCTCCTAGGAATGTTGTGCATTTCTTCAGGCTGCTGTCCACCCACCCTCTTCTCTGTCTCACAGGAGAATAGACAGCATGAGTCCAGCGGCTGGAGGGAAGGGCCCTCTGCCCCTCTACAGTGGGCAAAGGTCTAGCTCAGGCTAGCCCATAGAGATATCTCAGTTCCATCCGAGTATCTCAGCTTCCTCCAGCCTCTTCTACACCCCCTGCCTTGGCCTCAGCTTCCCCCCACCAGCACCCAGTCCCCCACCCCATTAGAACTCGCCTCCAGCCGGAAGTCTCTTCTGAATTCCGTTCCAGCTTCTAGGACTTGCATCCACAGGATTTATTTGATTTCTAGATCTTTCATCATTGTGACCTGAGGCAAGCGACCTTGTGATCAACCTCTCTGTACCTTTGACTTTCTCAGCCCCTCAGTGAGTGCCATGGAGGTCATCAAGGAGCCTGGGATGCAGAGCCTTCTGCATCAGATGGACCAAGACACTGCAGCATTTACACCTAGATGCCATGGACCACCTTCCCTTCCCTTCCGTTCCGTTCCATTCCGTTCCATTCCCTTCCCTTCCCATCCCATCCCCCCTCTCCCAGCACACATGGGCAGAATCCTGTATCAGGAAAGGACCCCCAACCCCGCCCTATCCTTCTCCATGGCTTCTCCCCTCAGGAGACAGCTGCCTGTACTGACAACGGTACAGGAACAGCATGAGGCGGACTGTCTACCCTGAGTGCCTGCCACAGATGTCCATCCATCCAGAACTCAGGCGGAGGGATGAAGAGAGAAAACGGGGTGAGAGCCACAGATGTGGGGAGACGTCTGGTTTCCCCACAGGAAGAGGGATCAGAGGAGTAGGAAGGGCATCAATGCTGAGCCGAGTGAACCTGGAGAGTAAGTGAAACAGAGCCGGGCGTGGTGGCCCACACCTTTAATCCTACCGCTAGGGAGGCAGAGGCTGGCCAGCCTCTGAGTTGGAGGCCAGCCTGGTCTACAGAGCGAGTTCCAGGACAGCCAGGGCTACACAGAGGAGCCCTGTTTCAGTGAGAGGGTGTGTGTGTGTGTGTGTGTGTGTGTGTGTGTGTGTGTGTGTGTGTGTGTGTGTGTGTGTGTAATGGAAGTGCTTTGTTAGGAAAACAATGATCCAAACCGGAGTCTTCTGACTGGTACCCAGGCAGAAGCCCGATGTTTTGGAAGATACAGTGTTGTCTCGGTCTTCTTGGAGATCCGTGGCTGTGATGTCATGGCTGGAGCCTGGCTTCACAGCCAGGAGAAGCAGGTGGGAAATGAATGTCAGCATCTTCTTCATTAAAGAGCAGCGCCCACCACTCCTGGAACTGTCCGTGGTGCTGGCTTCAGATCCTGCCTGGCACTGGCTGGCTGGCTGGCCGCTCCTGCCTGCCATGCGGCTCATTGTCTGCCAGGCTCTTTCCCTGCCAAGCTCTTGACCCAGCCCACAGCAGTGGCCCTTGCTGCAAACTTCAGCACTGCCTGGCATAACTGATGCTCGGGAGAGTTCTAGTCCAGGCCTTGGTGACGGTAGCTGAGTCCTCAGCCAGCCAGGGTCTTAGAGCTTGCTTTGTCCAGGACTCTACCAAGACCTCAGACACGAAGCCAAAGCCTCATGATTTCCTTAACCACGCTCATCATCTCCAGCTTTAATCCCAACACTGACCTGGACTTACACTCCACCCTAACCCCAGAGTGAACCTGAGCCCCAAAGCCTCGGGGCAAAGACTCCATTCCTCTTCTCTACCTCCCCCAAGCCAGACTAAGAATCATCCTTGATGTTACCCAACACCCCCTTCACAAGAAGAGGAACTGGGAACAGAACCAAGCTTAAGGGCATTGGCTTAAGCACACACTTATCTCAAGGTCTACAGGAAGCATAGAGAGATAGCCAATTTCTTCAGCCTCACACCACCAGTTCATCCTCAAAGAATGAGAAGTTACTATTGTGCACTGAGTACCTTAGCATAATATACTGAGAGCCTATACTAGTGTACTGAGCACCTACATTGTATACTGAGCACATATATTACTGTGTACTGGGCACCTACGGTGTGTGATAAGCACTGCTACCACCGTGCTCTGTCTACACCACCATACATTGATCATCTACACCACCATGCACTGTCTGCACCACCACACACTGATCGTCTATACCACCATGCACTGAGCATCATGTACTAAGCAACCATACTGTCCTGAATTTATTGGAATCAATACACTTAGAGTCAGACCTGGGTCCAAAACACAGGTCTGCTGTTGGCTAGTTCAGTGTCCTATACCTTCTGGGACCTCAGTCTCTTCATGTGTAAGCAGATAAGTCATATACCACCCTAGGTGGGTTTGAAATTTTGATGATATAACACCAAGTCTAGAACATCATGGCTTCTCGGTGCACGAAACGGTATAGGTGTTTGGTGTATGGTGGTGTAGGTTCTCAGTACACAGAGCTATAGGTACCAGTACCTGCTGCTTAGGGAACGCTGGTATGTGTGCTCTGTATGTTGTGGTGTAGGTGCTCAGTGAGTGATGGCTGATGCTCAGGTATTGATGATAAATTTTACATTGGTATAGGTACTCAGTGCATGAAGGTATTGGATGTTTAGTACATATGGTATAGGTGCTCTGGACATGACCGTATATCTCTCATTTCCCCCACATATCATGAGCTCTTATTAATAAGACCCCGCTTTAGGATCAGGAGACATAGCAGTCACCAGTTCTGGCCTGGATCTAAGTCTCTTGGGCATCCCCCAAGCTGGGAAGAGTTGGGTTTTTTGTTGTTGTTGTTGTTTGTTTGTTTTTGTTTTTATCTGCCTAGGGTGATATCCCTTTCTAGGAACCAAAATTCAATCGCGTTACCCTCAAGTGGCCCACACAGTGACCAACCAAGCAGTGCAATGTCCTCTGATTCCTTACTCCCAAAAAAGGGCAACTCCAGATAACACACCTGCACAAACCGTACTCTAGCCTGGAATTTTCCCCTTGGGAGAGTCTTTCAATGCGGTCCCAGAGCCAAAGAATGTAGCCCCAAGAGTTATCCCACCCGCTCCTCAGAAGTCACCTGGGCAGCCGACAGAGGTGATTCTGGGAGAGTGAGGCGGCACCAGTCTGGGAAAGCTTTGGGTGAGCCTGGACTTGGCTCTCCCGGTCCCTCTACAGTAATTAACAGGCCTTTGTTCCTGTCCCTGATCTCGTCTGGCAGAGCCTTAATCACCCTCTTCCCTGCAATGAGCAGCCTTCTCATTAGGGCCTTAAGAACCTCTATTATAAACATGTAAATGGAACTCAACGAGGAGGGAGATATTTGACTGTTCCCATTTCCTTTGTGCGGCTGCCAGCTCTGGGCTGCGCACGCCCGTGATTTCATTGCTCAGCAGCCCGGGCGCCAGCGCGGCTCCCACCGCCCGGCACTAGCCGCTTCATCCTCTCCTATCGGAATTTAATTACCTTCTCTGGGAAATGTTTGAGGAACCTTTCTCCATCAATTGATTGTGAAGTCAGATTTTTATTCCAAGATATTTAATGGTGCTTGAGCCGTCTACGGGAACGGAGGAGCAGGGGAACCTGGGCGGTAGGGAATCCTTTAACAAGGTTAGGAAGGGTCATTGCAGCTATGCCCTTGACTCTTCCAGGGTCGACCTGTCATCCAGCACAGACGGATATGAACTCTCCCTGAAGGTCCACAGAGAATTGGAGTCGTGAGCCTCCTGATCTGGACAGGAAGTCCTTTCTGATGTCTGCCTGGTGTTGAGCAAACCTTACAATAAAATTTAAAAAGTCGGTTTCTTCCTTGATGAAGCAAGTGTCTATCAGAGAGAAGCCAGGTTTACCACCTGGGGAAGAAGTTGAGCATATGATTAGCCTCTCCCCCAGGGACACAGAGTGCGAGCCCCGAGCACTTAATATGCCAGACTCCCCCAACTCAGCAAGCCTTTCTCATTTGAGTCTTCCTGTTCCTTAGTCCTCTGTGACACCTGGGGTCACAGAGGTACCTCTCCTCTCTGTTCCCTTTCCAAATCTTTACCCCCACCAGGTCTGTGGAGCTGTTTCATAGCCGGGTCCGCTCACTGTCAGCATCAGAGCTTGCTGTCGGGCCCCGTGGCGGGTCCTTGTTGACTGTGGCTGTTGGCTTAGCCCGCACATGCTCACTTGTTTTTGCAGTGCTGGGATGGAACCTGGGACCTGTGCATGCTGAGACAATGTTCCACCTCTAAGTAATATGGCAGCCCATGTCTATTGCTTTGGATAGACTCCCAGGGGTTCCCCCCTTCAGGCTGGAGTTTTCGTTGCCGGGTCCCTCACTGCCCTGAGCACAGAGCCTGGAGCGGATGCACACCTTGGAAAACCTGCTTGCTGGAACGGTCCGAAGGTGGGGACCGGATGCTTGGTGGCCTAACTGGCATATTGGGGGGGATGTGCCAGGCAGATTGCAGAGCTGGGGAATGGGCGTGGCCACCATTGCCTGGTCAGTGACGGGGAAGCCGGGCCTGGGAACATGTTTTCCTTTACTTCCTGGCTCTGTTCAGCTGTGTGAGGTGTGAGGCTGGAAGGACACTACAGAAGGAAAAGTTTTCCTCCCAGTATTCGCAGCCAGGCATCCACAGCTCACAGCTTCCCACATGTGAGGGCTCAGCAAATTCCAGCCCTCCAGAGTCCTGGCTGCCCCTTCTCTGACAAGGTTCAGATCTCTGCTCTGGGAGAGCTGGGATGGAGGGAGGGCCTCCTGAGCTGGTCCTGCCTTCAGTGTCCTGCCTCAGCTCTAAGTTTCCACGTATTAGGCCAGGGCTCTATTGCTGGGTCCCGTCCCAGTCCTGTTCCTGTACTTTTGAGACAAGGCAGCAATCCCTTCTTATAGCAGACAATCTCCTATAATTAATAGTTCTTTGGGGGATTTTTGGTAACAATGGTGATTTGGGTTTTGTTTTAATTTTATGATGGGATCTCATGTATCCCAGGTTGGCCTCAAACCCAATAAGTAACCAAGGATGCCTTTGAACTTGTGATCATCCAGACTCCAGATCCTGAGTGTTCCAGGATTACAGGTGTGCACCACCTTTCCCAATTTAGGAGGCACTGAGGATCAAAATCCAGGCTTCAGCACCCTGGGGTAAGTACTCTACCAACTAAGCCGTACCCCCAGCCCTATAATTCCTTACAACAAGCCTTCTCTGTTACCATCACTATGTAGTATCTGTCTCCTGGCTGGTCAGTGGGGAACAGGCGCATTGGTTGGTAAACCAGGTAGGTGATAAGATGGCTGACTATCAGGATGGTGGGTGGGTTTCCTGTGTGGTGAGCAGTTTGCTCCATAGCTTAGAAAACTATGGGTTGGCACGATGTAGGGCAATAGACTGGTTGACAGTGTGGATGGTTAGGAGGTGTTTAGTAGGTTGGAGGCAATAGCGGGTTCTGGGCTAGATGGAGGATGGGTGATGGGTTCAGGCTACAGGGTCAGCATCACATCAAAGGAAAGGAAAAGCTCCTGAGAGGCCCTGGGGGACTCAGTCTCCTCAGGAAGCCTGTGGTTCTGCAGGCTAACCCTTCATAGTCACCTCCTGGGAGCTCAGACGTCAACAACACTGTAGAGTGACCCCAACTCGCACAGCACAGAACCAGGAAGGCTCAGAGCTTGTCTGGGGAGCTCTCATACTCCATGCCAGAACCCTGAATGTCTGACAAGAAACCACCTGACTGCCCAGCACCCAGGCAACCTAGCAATAAAGGAGGAGTGCAAAGTGCTGGCTTGTACTGGGGACTGGTTCTTTTGCCCATAGAACCCCCAAGATATGAAGTCCAGAACAGGGACTCCTGTGAGTGCCAGCTCCAGTGCCGTCCAGGCCGGGAACTCTCCCCAGCACTGCCCTCCTGTCTGCCAGTGCCTGCCTCATATCTCAGTGTGGTCCCTGCCCACCTTGGGCCTCAACTTTGACCCTGTCTCCCTTCTACCCCGTCTCTCCTTATTTCATTCTAGAGGCCAGGGCAGAAGCCTCCCTCCCCTTGCCCAACCCTGCTCCCCTCATCTCCCTCCCCGGGCCTTGTAGGTGGTCTGGTCCACAGCCCATCCAGAGCCACTAGGACATTCAAAATTTCATCTTCTGAGAATCAGAAAAAGAGATCTGGGGAGGAAATTGCTTTCTCTCTGTGCAGTCTAGATGGGGCTATTTTTCACTCTTTTTTTTCCCTCTTCCTTGCAATCTCAGTAAAAAATGAGAATGTTCCCAAAGCTTAAGCCCTAGTTTGGACTAGCCTTTCTCCCTTCTGAGGTCTGCAGAGGTCAAATGGTATCCAAGAAACCTGTGCCAGGGGACCCAGGGTGACACCCTAGCGGCCTTACCACAGTTGGTGCTGCCCAGATGCCTAGCCTGGGAGTTGTCCAGAGTGGACAGGTGAGGGCAGCCTACAGGTGGAGAGAATAGGGCAGACTAGGGCAAACCTGGCCCCGGGGGACTTCACTAGGGGCTCTAGTCACCCTGGCAGGAACGCCCCCTTCCCAGCAGGTATCACCGGCTCTCAGGTCAGGAGCTAAATTCCTGGCCACACCTGTCATACAGTAGCTGTCAAAGCTACACCACTGAGATACATTGTCATACAGTAGTTGTCAATGCCCGACCTGCTGCAGAGAGAGCCAGCCACGCAGGGCCCAGCCCTGCTGAAAAGACACCCTTCCTCCTTTTCAGTCATGCGGGAGAGGTGTGATGGCTACACATCACCCTCTGGGAGAGGCGAGGATCCATTATATCATGAAGGCTGGGGCTGGAAGATGTGGAGATCCCCTTTGCCCTTCTGCTGGCTGGTCACACAAATGCTTCAGGGTTATACTAAGTCCTTCAAATGTGCTGTTTTCTTCCGTCTCTGCAGAAATCTTCTGTCATTTCATCTAAAGAAAAGAGATTAAACCAGGACTGGTGACTCATACCTGGGAAACTGAGTCAAGAAGATTGCTAAGAATCTACGGCCACCCTGGACTACAGATTGAGATCTTATATAAACGAACAAGCAAAAGAGGGCCTGGGACGTGGTGGCTCCGTCGGTAGAGGGCTTGTTTAGGGTGTACCGAGCTCTGGGTTAGATACTTGCACTCCACGAGTCATGGGGCGGGAAAACAGAAAGTCGAAGTCCTCCTTAGCTCACAGAGGCTGTGGAATAACCTCACACCACTCAGCTGCTGATCATTCCTTTACAGACTTGAAATCCCTGGGCATAATACTGTGCATTAGATGCTATTCTGTGGTGTTTTTTTTTAAGAGGTGGTTTTGGGAAGAGCTATAGCCTCCAAGACAAGCGGAGGAATGATTTCTTGTTTGTCTTGTTGGATTTTGAGATAGGTTCTCCCCCAGCTGATCTCAAGCTCTCCATCTTCTTGCCTCAGTTTCCTGAGTGAAGGATTACAAGAGTCTCTTTCCACGGGTGTTGGAGAAGGAATCTCAGGCTGTGCAGGCCCAGAGGCATTGTGACGACTTTCAGAATTCCTCAAATGATAATAGTGGCTGTCCCTTATTGAGTGGCACTCTAAACAGATGTTCTGCAAAATTAATTCCTTACCATACTAATTCATTTAATCCTCACACCAACCCCAGGGCAGGGCACTGCAGTGAGTGGTGGGGAAACCAAGCAGGAAAGTTACTTAGCTTGTTCAAGGGCATGAGCCAATTAGCCATGGTGCCTCAGCCCCGGCACTCAGCAAGCTGCCGCTACTCACTCCCTACAACTTTTCTTCCTGTGCTAGGGTGTGTCAGAGAGACAAGGTGCTGCATTAGTTACTTTTCTTAATGCTATGACCAAAGCAACCCAAGGAAGGAAGGGCTTGTTTGGGCTCCCAGTTGAGGATGCCGTCTATCAGGGCCAGGGAGGCACGGTTCAGGAGCAGGGGTGACAAGCAGCAATGCATCCACAATTAGGAAGCACCCCATGGTGAATATTGGTGCTCAGCGTCCTCTCCCCCCTTCCCTCCCACCATCCACATCCTCTTTCCTCCTCGGCCACACCTTCCTGGCACACACCCAACAGTGTGTGCTGGGTGACTCTACGTCCATTAAGGTTGACAATGCAGATGAACCATCTCAGGAACAGAAGGGGACTGTGTGTCAGAATGGGAATCCTAAACCCAAGGCCACAAGAAGCCCGGGTCCCTCTGACTCTTAAGCAAAGCCTTCCATCCTTACCACCCTCCTCGCCAAAGTTTAGTCTAGTGTGTGATCCCGTGGTGCTGATGAGAGGGATGCATTTCCCTGTAAGAGGAGTAGGAGATGCTCATGACTCATGGCTGCCTTCTCTGTTCCCATTAATCATCCCTTTTACTAACCCAAATGTCAGATGACAAAAGTCACCCTAGCCTCGATGATAGTGTAAGGAGCCAAGAATGTCCCCACCAGGCCACACTAACTCTTATCCAAGCAGCCAGTCAGTAGAAATGTCAGCAAAGGGCTGTCTCCTCTCACACAAGACATCTGACTTACCTTTCATCTCCATCAAGGCCTGCATCTGAATCTGGCTTCTCATCCCCAACACACACACACACACACACACACACACACATACACACACACACACACACACACACGAATTAGATACATAAACAGGAATGTGAATGGTTCCTTAAGACTGGGTGTCTAGATGGATGTTTTGTCACGATGATAGTGATGGGACCTTGTCTGGGAAAGCAGTTTAACCCGTAGAAGAGAAAGGGAGCCATGTCAGAGGCAAAGATGAGGCACAGAGATCATGGCCAAGAGAGATCCCGGACAGAGACCAACTGAGCCTCCATACTTCCAGCCACTGTGAGTCTGGCTCCCACCGTTAAAACCATCAGGACCGTGAAGAGGAAACAGGGACAATGAGATGAAGTCAGAGGGGAGGTGTCACAAAGCCTCACTAAATTAGTCACTGGCTTTGGGACAGGCAAAGCAGAAAGGAGAGTAGGAAAAAAGGCCTGAAGACACACTCATCATTAGAAAGCAAGTCATGTCCACTGCCTGGTATGATGATTTCCACACTTACGACAGTACCTGGAATATAGCAGGAGCTTAATATCTGGTGAGTGAATGAATGAATGAATGAATGACCAAACAAGCAAACAATGAACACACACAGCTCTTCCACACATGCTAAAGGTTTTCTAGCATTTGAACTCAGGAAAAAAGTATCAGCCCATGGGTTGTCCTAAAGGAGCCCTGGAGGAAGGTGGAGGGCGATTCATTCATTACCCACTCATTCATTCACTCACTCACTCACTCTATGATGCGTGTTCCACCCTTTCGCAGCAATCCCTACCACAGAGGAGTTGATGAATGTGATCTCAAAGTTCCCGAGCTTCCACGGTGCTGGCAGAAGACAAGCTGCTCACGGTAAACACGGGCAACTGTTCCAGCGCTGTGTGAGGAGTCTGCGCTTCTCGTGACGGGAAACCACAAAAACAGCACAGAGAGTAGGGCCGGGTCTCAAGCAGGAGGTGACATTTCAGCAGAGACCTGAAGAAGGCCAGAGAGCGAGCCAGGCAACATCTGGAGGAGAAAAGGGCTCCATGGCTCCAGATACAGCTGTCTGGCAGGGGTGGCTGGTGCACCTGAAGCAGGCACAGATGGAGCAGTACCCAGGAGGCAGGTAGCCAACATGGCTTCAAGAGCTAGACTGTCTCTCCAAGCTGCTGTGGTGCTAGGCACAAACTGAGGGCACAGAGGGAGCAGGGATGTCACACAGAGGGAGCAGGGATTATGTCGCACAGATGGGGGAATGTGTTAGGTTCTGGGTGTACTTCATGTTCGATGGCTTTCCCGAAAGGTTGAGATTGGGATATGAAAGAGCTTGCAAGTAGATGCCTCCTGGTGCTCTCCTGAAGCCTACAACACCCTTGTCAGGGGACAGTCTCCTACCCTGCACCTCAGCAAAGAAGCCAGGGCCAGAGACCACACACACACACACACACACACACACACACACACACACACACACACACGCACACGCACACGCACACGCACACGCACACGCACACACACTGGCCATAGACCCAGCACACAGACAATGGAACCACAAGCCCAGGAAAGTCTGCTGAGCATTGCCCACAGGCCACTTGGGTGTGTTTCTGCTTACATCTGAGCCAAGCAGGACAGCTCCCTGCAGAGCGTCCGAGAAAGAACCACTGTGACACAGGCTCTTTGGTGTCCCCAGTGCTCACAAACGGTTGCAACACTCACACACGTTTGAAGACTGGATCTATTAGCCATGCACACGAAAATGTGCACCCTCATAAAACCACACTGCCCATATTCACACCCCTGAACTCCAGAGGCACCCGGGACCGCCCACCCATTGCCTCCACCCACCTACAGCACCGCGGCTTTCCACCCTGGCAACTTCGTAGAGTGTCAGCTGAACGCTAGGGACACCCCGCCCCCAGCAGAACCTCACCCTCTCTCACACATACATCTGCACCTTAGTACTCACACAGTCACACACTCATCACTCGTGATTTGCATATCAGAGTGTGATCCCCATGGGCAGCTCTGAGACCCTGCAGACGTGAAGCTCAGCCCCCAGAGTTCTGAGCACCTGCTAGGGAGGCCTAGAGTCCAGAAGCTGATGAGAAGGCCCGGGCATGGCTAGCCAGTGCGCGTACCCACTTGGCTCTCCCCACTTAAGCACAGAAGTCACGGGAACGAGTGAGAGTCCAGGCCTAAAGGGTCACTCACTCCACGCCAGGACCAGTGCTGAGCACTTAGAAAGGAAGAAGACATGCCAGTGCCAGCCTCACCTGCCCCAGGTACATCCCAGCATCCCTAAGACGCTGCGCCCCATCCCCTGTGCTTGTAGCCTTGAAGCTAGTGCCTCTCTAGTTTACTTACCCAGAAAGGTGTTCAGGTCTGCCACGGGTGGGATTGAGGACGGGCCGGGGGCCCAAGGAGGCAGCCTGGCGTCTGATGCCTCTGGGCTGGCCAGCATACCTAGCCTTCCGGGTCCTAAAGCCAGTGGAAAGCTGAGTGGGGGCGGGGCGGGGGGAGGCCGGGAGCTGGCAGGCTAAGCAGGATGAAATATTGATGCCCGCATCCTGGTAAAGCAGAGAACGCTGCTTGTCCATGAATAAAAGATAAGCTGGAGGAGCGGGCTGGGCAGCGGATTAATTAATCTGAGTGAGCCTTGCTCTGTGCTGTGGGGGAAGGGCATGGTGGAGCAGACAGGCCGTCCCAGCCCCAGGGTCCCAAGGGACCATCCAAGGCCCTCTGTTCTAGGCAGGGTAGCAGCACTGAGCATGGGCAGACAGAGGGGCCAGGGTGGCTGGTGTCTAGGACCAGAATCAGGCACAGTGATGTGCCTGGCAGAGGGGGACCACAGAGGTCAGCTGCTTTGGAAAGTGGTGTCACTGGTCTCTGAGGACTCCTGCCATCTCAAACCCACCTTCGGGTTCGAAAGCCAGGACAAATGTGGACGTGGGAGAGAGGGGCGGGCGGCGGGCGGCGGGCGGCGGGCGGCGGGCGGCGGGCTGACATGGAAAGACGGCCACAGCTTTATCATAGTTGGCACAGGGAGACCTTATGTCTGAAGAGGGAGGGGTACAGCGGGGCCAAGGTGGCCCTCCCCGCACCTTCATCCCATGGAGCCCCAGGACCTACGCTGGCCCTGCTTTAGGATGACATGGCATCGCTGGCAGAGTGGTGCAAGCCACGAGGGACATGGGCATGGTGATGGCGGTGTCACCAGGACACAGAGCTTGCAACCTAGTGTTCATCTGACATCCGCTGGCTATGGCAGCTTTCACAGACTCCTGGCAGCTTTATGTTTCCCCAAGTGACATTAGGACAGGGTGGTGACATCCCTCATCACGCTTCCATCCCTAGGATCCTGTTGGAGAGCATCAGCCCCAGACTCTGTATTGTCCTCATGGACCCTCGGTCTTAACGCCCACGCTGACCACGCCAGCCGTCCCCAGTGTGACCCGGTGTGTTCGGGTCTGGGAGAGGGTCAGGTCAGACTCCAGGTGGCCCCAGCTGATGCCAGCCACAGCCCCAAGCAAGTGACAGGACACCTCCAGCCTGCAGACCTAACCATGGTCAAGATGGCTTCTGGGACCCACCCAAGGCCAGCCATGGTGCTGCTAGGGATGGTGTACACAAGCTGGAGTCATCACAGAGAAGGAGCCGGGGAAACGCCTCCATGAGATCCAGCTGAAAGGCATTTTCTCAGTTAGTGATCAAAGGGGAGGGCCCAGCCCACTGTGCCATCTCTGGGTGGTTCTGGGTTCTATAAGAAAGCAGACTGAAAGACGGGCAGGGGTGGTGCCCGCCTTCAATCCCAGCACTCGAGAGGCAGAGGCAGGATGATCTCTGTGAGTTCGAGGCCAGCCTGGTCTACAAAGCGACACAGAGAAATCCTGTCTCAAAAACAAACAAACAAACAAAACAAAAACAAAAACAAACAAACAAAACAGACTGAAAATGCCAGGGGAACAAGCCAGTAAGCAGCACCCTCCATGGCCTCTGCATCAGCTCCTGCCTCCAGGATCCTGCCCAGCTTGAGCTCCTGTCCTGGCTTCCCTCAATAAAGAACAGCAGTGTGGAAGTGTAAGACAGGTAAACCCTTTCCTCCCCAGCTTGCTTTGTGGTCATGGATAGAAACCCTGACTGAGACAGAAGGGGCCACGCAGCCGGCGTCGTCCTCAGCTGGGGCAACACAGCCATAGCCACCAACCTCACCTTCCTTCCCCATGGGCATGGTCCCCGCCCCACACCCCTCCTCTGGCTGACTCACGGCCTTTCCCATCTCTCCTGAGCAGGGCTGACACCTTAGGCACCTTGTCTCATATGTGTTATTCAACTCTGCTTCCCATGGGTTTGAGCCCACCTCGAAAGCAGGAGCAAGGTCGTTTGGGGCCCTCCAGGTCTTCCAAAGTCGTGCACAGCCATGGGCACATGGGGTTTGCTTACGTGACCGTGAAGGACTCTAATCACCACACCTCCTGTGTCCACCCGACCTAGCCCTTCCTGCAGGCACCTGCGCTGTGAGCTCTTGGGGACTGTCTCACCTTCACAACCTCTGGACAGGCATATTTCTCCCACTGACCAGATGGCAAAACCCAGGTGCACACTTGACCAAAGTCACACAGCTGGCAATCAGCAAACCAAGGATGGAGCCCTAACCTAGGCTTAGAGTTCTAGCCAGTACCCCACCTGATGATGGTGATGATGGTGGTGATGATGGTGATGGTGATGGTGGTAATGGTGGTGGTGGTGATGATGATGGTGGTGATGGTGGTGATGATGGTGGTGATGATGGTGATGGTGATGATGGTGATGGTGATGATGGTGGTGATGATGGTGATGATGGTGATGGTGATGGTGATGGTGATGATAACAGGATGCAAGAGGCCCTCAGCATTCCTTACCTCCTGAGGGCCGGGCATGCACATAGCTGGACCTGGCCTGAGGGCTCCAGGCTGCCCCCTCTTCCTGCACCTGCCCTCATCCCAGGAGGCAGGATAGAGCTGGGGTGGAAGGCCAGGGAGGCTGGTGGGGCTGCTGTGGGGCTCATGAAGATTCCTTGGGTCGAGCTACGAGAAGCTCACTGGTAATCTCACTATTTAGGAGTCTAACGAGAAGTAAGATGGCGGCCCTCCACAGACCAGAAGCAATGGTAGATTGGTCAGGCCAGGAGAGAAACGGGCAGAAGCTTGACCCGAGAGGCACATATGCTGTCCCATGCACAGCTAAGCGTTTTACCTCTGAACGAGGGCTACTGGGGTGAAGTCTCCAAAAAGTTGCTGGGAGCCAGGAGCCTGCTATTTCTGTAGTTACAATGCCACCTGCTGGCCATGAAAGGCACAGCAACACAACGGATGTGGGCATCATAAAGAAAACATCAGCCTCTAGTTTCTGTGTGACAGGCAGCACTTGAAGACTGGGTGCACAGGAATGAACCACAAAATACACACGCCTGGTCTTTGGGGGTCACAGTTGAATGAGAGAGAGGCGATAATAAGTGGGACTAACATGTAACATCCATGAAAGGGCGCAGGAGGCTCGAGCACCAGGGAGAACTCTTAAGCAGACATGGAGGGCCTGAGGTGCTGTGATGTTATTCAAGGGACAGACGTGACTTCACGGAGCCAGCGACACTGAGGAGTGTCCAGAAGGTGGTGAGGAAAGACCTGTGCTGATTTCTGAGCTGGGTCATCCCAGACTGATACAGGAATGAGTTCTGCCTGGTAGATCTGGGAACCCAACAGGGACGGGTTGGGCAGGGCAGAACCTGAAGGGTGAGTTCAAAAGCCTGGGACTTCATTGTTGGGCTCAGAAGGGAAGAAAAACCAGCTTCATCTGGCTTCCCCCCAGTGTTGGTGGGGGACAGACCCAGAGACTTGGCCTTACTAGACAGGGTTACCACTAGACCACATCACTGGTCTACTATTGCGTGCTCTTTGTCATGTTGTTCCATTTGAGAA